AAATCATTGGATCAAATCTAGGTTTATACTGGTAATCTCAGCTGATTTTTCTACATTTTTGAAAAATCCCCGAACAGTATTCCCATTATTTATTGTCCCATATCCTTTAAATATAAACATATCTAGGTATATACATAGGTTTATATAAATATTTTGCATATATTTATTAATATCTACTAACTTTTGACACTCACACAAGTAATATATGAACGTACATTTTTGAAGTTAAAATTTAGACAAAATTGAGATCTACAACTTCACATGAAAATGTACAGTGTTTATTTTTAATGCGAGATATTTTAAACCAAGTCGATGGAAATTATATTGTTGATATGATGTGTTCTTCAATCCAAGAAATAAATCAATTACTTTCACTCTAAATTATAATAACTTTTTTTCAGAATTCATTATTTTATTATTATATAAAAGCACATTTATAATTGTATTAAGCAAAAGTTTATACTCGTAAATATAGATACATAAAAATTGTATTTATTTATTTATATATTTTTAGTATAAGGAAGCTAACAAAATTAAGATCCTTTAATCTGTATTCTATTGGACCTTAATCTAAAGGAATATTTAACAAAAATTAAGACATCCTTAAATATTTTCGAGATCGTCTAATAAGACCAGCTAGTATGAGCCTGATTTTAGGTATACATTTTATCGAGTAAATTACGTCTAGCAGTTACATTATTTCTATGATAGCCATTTAATTTGGCATTACCCAAGGACATTATGAGGAGGCGACTATCATTGTCTTACAAAAAAATTTGTTTTTTGATTAAATAATATGGGTGGATACAATGGCGTAGCAAGGGTATGGTGGACTGTGTCTACGCCAGGGGCGCAAAATTGTGCAAAAGTCGTATTTTTATCCTACAATTAAATCAAAATTTTTCCATTAAACTTTTTAAAATACGTAGATGTTGTCTATTTGTACACACTACGTGTGCATTTAATGATGAAATTATGAAAATAGGGTATTTAAATAAAAAATTCATATGAAGAAATTATCGATGAATTTACCAGCCATAAAGCGAGAAAGCAAATTTTAAAAGTTTAAAATTAACACTGTAATAATAACTTATAAGTATAAATTGTATACTTAAAAATATTAGTAAAATTAAAGGTTAAAAAAAATATCATGAAATCGAATTTTAATTGGTTAGAAAAGTAACTTTTTCTAAGTTTGCCTGGGGCGTTAACCAGTTTTTCCACGCCACTGGGTGGATATATTAAATATATTAAGTTGTTTAAAATATTTTTTGTTTGGATAACTTACATAGAGTTAAATATAGATAAAAATTGGCTTCATGATATGTATTATTTGAGATATTATTTTTATTTTATAGTTGAGTAGATAAAACATAATATACTTACAAAAATATCCAGGTATAGTTTGACTTAGCTATTTATCATAGTTTTTTATTCGAGTTGTCAAGTTTTCAAGTTATCAATGTTTGAGTTATCATGACTCGATTGTACTATGAGTGTAATTTATTATACCTATTTTAAAATACAAAAAATACCGAGTGGAATTTACTATACTATTTTTACTACCTACTTAATGTGGACGCAATTTACAATCGCGCATTTATCGATTAGGAAAAAACCATATTGTTATGTGATATGATAATATATGATTTACGTATCTGTTGGATCAATGGACATAGCTGTACGAAGCAGGTGTCTCGTATGGAAATTCGATTTGTTTCTGTTACATATATTGTGATTCTGCCATTTGGCTAATCCGGAAACTTATTTCAAATGGAATGTTATTGTCAAGTTTCGTGCGATTTCGTATTGAACCATTTCAGTGTATTAGTTTTTTGTTTTACAATATTCAAGTGAGGTACGCGTTATTAATTATTAGTTTTATCTTCTATAAAATGTTTTTGTCTCGAAAAATACTCCTAGAAGTTGTAAACTTTCGCCGAAACATTTTCATACGTAATAATGTTATCGATCGCAAGTTATAAGCAATATTTTGTTTCATTCGTATGTTTAACTAGAAAATATAAATATATCTAATATGCGTTTGTCGAGAATATCAAAAAATGTATTTAGAAATAAAAAATTAACAATTTTAATTACGAGTATAACTTGATTTACGGTATACTTGTACTATGAGCTATTTGAAATGTATGTCTATCAATGATTATCCCGGAAATGATAGCTGAGATTAAAAGCACGTATTATATGCTTGTAAATTGAATAATTGATTTGTTGACTAATTCTAAACAAGAAATAACAACAAAATATTGTATTATAGTTTACATTTTACAACATGTAACATCTGCGTGTTATCCTGTGCATTGGCAAGAATGTCAACATATTTTATGAGTTACGTTTTCGAAAATACGTAACCATTATGTTATTTTTAAAGTATGTACCTATTTACTTTAGTAAATAATATGTGAGATCGGTGTTGTATAATTACAGAGATTGTATGGAAAAATATTATCTTGTTGTATGGATAATAACGTTGGAGTATGCCATTTCAGAATACGCGTAATCTAAATTTGAAAAGGAAAATTAAATACTTCCATATGGCTACGCTCTATTTGATGTAAAACTCGTCGCAGAGTGCTTAATATGCTCTCAGTCGCAATTATTATATTGTTATAACGCACCTACACGATTATTTTACATATATAATTTTAAAATCGAAATACGTTTTCTCTCCAATGACATATTATTTGCACGAAATAATGACTGGACAAATTCCAAAGACTGGCTTATTGACGCCTACTCTATGTTCAAATCTTAATCATTTCAAGTCTGGTGCATACGAATTAGACGCCTTAGTCAACAACTCAAGATAACTAACTATTAATTACTATAGATTTTCTGCCACAGTAATGTAATTTTAGTAACGTTCCCGATATCGATAAATATAAAATAGTATAATAATCTCGTACAGTTGATACGATTTACGATTTAGCATCATATTAGAATTTATTGTAAAAATACCGTACTTATTGTGATGAACCGTGAGACCACGTAATTGTAGTTAACAAAAAAATAAATAAAATAAAAATATTTAATATTAATATCAGAATAATTTTATTTTGGCGTTATTTTTTTTTAATTTAATTTAATTTTTTAATTTTTTTTTTTTGATTTACGATCGCTTAAATATACTGTAAACATCATAAACATTACTTAATAAATCGATTCTAAAATCATTTTATGCACTGGTTTATTTTAATTTAATTCAACATTTTACCAAGCGGCAGAAAAAATGGTATAGAATTTGAAGGACGTTGTCTTCAATAACGTAAATACACGGCTTTTTTTTCACATTATTTATTACTTTTAATTTTTTTTTTACCTCATTGAGCAACATTCCTATTTATTTCATAATCTTAAAACTGAAAATTCAAAACAAACCGATTTGATTTGAAATCTGTTAGTACTAATGCAACGAATTGAGGACTGGATAATTTAATTTGTTATTCATCCGCGTTTTAGCTATAGTTCAAAAAAATATTAATTCGCGATGCAGTTTAATGATTTCTAAAGCAGTTTATCGTGTTTGATATTGACATATTTTTTTTTCGTCGTTAATATTTTATTTGATATTGACATGATAATAAGTTGTGTGTCTCGGTGTCTCGATACGGGCACGTTAAAAATTTATCCACAACGACCTCCACGATTAAACTGAACGCTTCGCGTGACTCTCTTAGTATTTATATATTATATTCTTCCGTCAGCTGATTTCCTATGATATCACTTACGCGTGTTCAGTCATCACCAGTGTCTCATTGGTGAGTTGATCGGTTAATATGTTTTAATGATTAGTGTAGTTTATTATTCACTTGGACTTATATCGATTAGTTACCTACTTACCATGTTTTGGTATAGGTTTATATTTCTATTGAAGTTTTCATAAAATTATATAGAATAAAATCATGATTTTAAATAACCAAATCATATAAATCAATAATATTTTAACAATGTAATCAGACGATAAACCAAAGAAAATCGAAAATATAAAAATAAAACAATATTCTAATATAAATCAATCAAGATATACTAGTACATATATAATATATATATATATATGTATTAATAATTTATTTGTAGAAATAATTTAATTGAAATTTAGTCTTTATTAATAATCAATGTTAATAAATAAATATAATTTATAAACGTAAAACATTATTAACGACTTTAAAATTAACCTTAAAACGTTACAGACATTCCATAAAAGTAAAGTAAAATTTTACCGATATTGATACATATGTATATATTTCTTTTAAGATCTTTGCTACGAATTGAATTGATTTGACCACTCAACATACAAGTCAAGGAATTAAAATTAATTAACTTTATTTCTCATTTAGATTGTTCTATTTAACCATCGATTTCTCTTATTATTTTCAGCCTCAACTATGGTATACGATCAAATACCTTACTTTGATCTTATATAATATAACCCTGTTTACTTGTAGTGTAAATCAGTTTATGATTTGCACGACCCATCGGCGATTTCACTGTAATCATTATCGTTTCATTTCGTAATTTAAATCTAGTGATCTCGTGATACATCGTTAAAAAACAATTTAAATATATTTATTTACACTTTGAATTTCAAATCTCATTGCAGATGAGTTATAAATTGCAAGTATCGTGTACGATTTTTAACGTACTTATTTAAGATAGTGTGTATTATTCAATTTAGCTCCATGTATATTAAATATAACAGCAGCGTTATAACATTTCGGTCAAGTGTTTGTTAGTTCAATTTATTTAAAATTATCCAGCTTTACATTAAGATACAGTTATTTTTTTAATAGCATTTGGTGGATAAAAAACCATAAGCATTATAAATACGATATTTATTACAATACATATTATATTATATTAATATTAAAAAAATATAAATTATATTACAAAACAATATTGAGTAGAGCAGAGACAAATAAAATTATTTGAATGAGTTAAAATGTACAATATTTTATTATTATAATAATACATCTTTATATATATATATATATTATAAAGTATACATGATATGACACGGTAAAAATATTTGACAAGACAGCGAAAAAAAGTCATCAATTGAATGGAATGGAATTTTGCTGAGGTAAATTAAAATAATATTTCCGTCTCGTATTTTCATTTCTAATAAGCTTCTGATACTTAGTAGCCGTTAGTGGGTATTTTTCATATTTTGAAAATGGTTTTTGAAACTTGATTTTCATGGGCACCTGAAAAAAACGTAAACATGTTGATATGTATAATGTTATTGAAGTATCTGGTTTCAAATACGTAACCTAAATATGCAAAAAATGATCTATGGGCTATATAGGTTAGATGATTTTGGTTTTATCAGAAAGTTGGGTACACTCCATAATTTTGTTCAAAAATATTCTCGATTCATCTATTTATTTTTTCTTCTGTACAAGACACTCGCAATATAAAGTAAAACTCATTTCATTATTATTTGAAACGTAGTTATTGTAGGAGTTGTAAAAAAGAAGTTTACTTGTGATATTGGTGATTAAAAATATTCAAATCTTCATTACAAAGGTTGTTTAAGTAATAATGAACCAAATCAACTATTTTTAAGCAATTTAATTTTAGCAATTTTTAAACGTAATTTAACATTTTTATGTGAAAAATTAAAAATTAAAAATCTCAAGATCACAAATGAAATTAGTTTTATACTGTACAAACATTTAGTTTGTTTTAGTATTACAGCCTAAAATAATGGTATAGCATATAATGTAATTAATTTCTAACGTGTTTTAGGTGTAACAGAGAAAAAAGGAACTGGTATATAGCATTGCATTGCATTTTATGATTACAGTGGAGTTGTTCAAAATATTAACACCTTGTTTGATTTAAACAATGAAACTATTTGATGTATTATGTTGACTATATATGGGGTAAGAATCAAGCAAGTCCAAATGGAATTTGTTTAAAAATAAAAAAAATGATAAAATACATATTGAGTAAATTGAGTAATGACGTAACCATGAGCGGTGGACTCAATGAGCACCTCATTGGTCATGATTATTTATGTAAAATTTCTAATTAATAATGAATGATGATAGAACTACGATCTTGATTATAATTTTATACGGCTCTTTAGAAATACTGGCTAAGTTGCTGATTCGGTATGTTTTCAATTTCTATACGCAAATAATTTGCAAGTTATTACGTATATATTTGAAATGTTAATTTCACAATCGATATACTAATGAATGAATAATGTATAAGCCTAACCATTCGAATCTTTGGCTGATGTCTTAAATCAATATATTATACATAAATAAGTATTAAGTATTGATCAATACATTTCGAATGATAGGTTAGGTTAGGTTAGGCCATTATTCTACTGTTATTTTTCACTTAAATTTTATACTTGTATACGCTAAAATATTAATAATTATTATATAATATACAATATATATGTATAATATTATACAACATTAATATTATAATAGGAACAATGATCAAATTCGTTTACCAGCAGAACGCCGTGGGGCGCCAAGTACTCGATGAAGTCGTACGGAACGGGCACGTAGGACGGATCGAGTGGCGGTGGTTCTGGTCTTTCTTCTGAATACTCTTGTACGGGAGCCGGTGGTACTACGTATGATCGAGGAACGGGAATCGTACTTGGTTCAGGTGCAGCGGGTTCGATGGGCGTCGTCTTGCCCGTTGGCACTGATATTGCCAACGCCGAATCCATCAAGTACAAGCACTGCATAAAAATATAGAATCAACGATCAGGATTTCGTCCAAAAGTTGTTTCAGGATATAAAGAAATATAAACGGGCATGTGTGTGCAAACTCGAATTTGAATACAAAATCTATTCTGTTTTGCAATGGTTTGAGAAAATAATGCTTTTCGATCACAAAATATTTTGATTCATCTTTATTAGAAAGTTTAAAAACAAGACTTTTATTATTTGCAGTAGATTTATCAAACGACATACAACTAATTTTGTAGCTTACATAAAGTTTATATAAATTTACAACAAAAAGTTTTTTTTTTTTTTTTTTTTAATCAAATGTCATAAAACAAATTATACTAAACAAATGGTATTAAACAAATAATATTAATTCGACAATACAAATCATTGTTTTGGTTTTAATTAAATCCATAGACCGCAATAACATTACCGAATATTCAACGAATAAATAAATTAGGAGTTTCTGAAGATTGTTTGTGGTTTTCAAGATAGCATACTAAGAAAGTCTACTAGTTTATTTGTATTATCAGTGAATGATATATATTTATTATTTTGTACAAAATACCATATGTCTTTGCTTGGAAAACATATTTAAAAGTTAGACAAATATGTATTAAATACCGTTTAAATTTAAAAACTTGTGTGTTCGTTGAATTAATGCAGTTTTAAAAAAACATTGTTATTAGTAACTAATAATAAATCCTAACAAAAATTAAAAATTTGTCATTTTTATATGAGACATTTTTAGTTCTTATTATTTAAAATAAACTAATTTTGGCACTTTTATTTTGTAATTAACAAATTGTTTTTTAATTAATAAGAAAAAAAATGTATAGGAACTACAACGATAAAAGATAAAAAAATATAATTAGTCAATTTTTTGTTCAGTTGAAATGCTAAGATCCGTGCGGAGAAACCTTAAACTTCATGTATTCAAGTGTTAGACCAAGACTTTTGTCCGCCATTCTATCTTTTCTCTGATTTTGATTAAAAATGCACGAGTCTACTTTCGGTGCTCTTATATGTGCTGGTAATTCGATACGTAATTTTTGCTTTTTCTAGCAACTCAAGTCTTCGAATACAAACCGAAGAAATATGGCTGAACGTTAACCATAGATTGGTAGTAAATTCCTTAATCCTTTATGACCTTTTTTTTTTTATCTCTGCTTCTTCTTAAGAAGTAAATATTGACTTCAGATTTTTAGCCCGACAAGGGTGAAAAAATGCTATTTCGTTTTGTATTTCACTTTCATTATTTAAACTTTCTAAAACTTCCCTTTTTTCTAGCTCATGCAACTCGCCAATGGCATTGTCTATTAGTAACGGTTAATTACATCAAACATTTTTAAAATGGTAAAGATATGTATTTTTCGTTTAAAACTGTTATTTTATTGTTTTAAAATCATTTTATGTAATGTACTTCTTGCAAACCTAGGAAGTTGCCCATTAAACATAAATAAATTTATGTATTTTTATGCTTGTGTGTATTTGTAAATTAGTATGCGTATTAGGTGGTAAATGGTTTTCACTATATTATCAATATTAAAATTAAAAACAACCAAGAATTGATTTTTGTAATTGATATAATTTTATTTAGAAATAAAATGTTTTCGTGAAACATATTGAAAAACTGTTAACTTATGTATAGTGATGTAAATGAACATGTTATTATGAAATAAATTATTCGAGTCGGTAAAGCACAAGTATAAATTATTATTTCTTTATCTATTATAACTAATCGTAAGAAAACGTTTTATACTTTGTGGTATAATAAATATTAATATAATAAATATTTTATATGGTTTGTTTTTTTAATCTTTTAAACTAATCACATAGATTAAAAATAAATAAACATGATTACACTTTAAGCTGGAAATTGTGTCAAGTTACGCCTGGATCAATTACTCAAATGGTTTAGTTCGCTTTGCTTTATTAAATCTTCAAATTGGAATCTCGAGTGTTATTTTTTTTGTTTTTAAGCTACATTATACGTGTTGGAATATGACGACATCTCTCCTTGAATTCAATCTCACTACTTCTATAATAATATGTAAGATCAACATTATTTTGAGTACTTTTTCATTTTATATTGTTATTTTATCATAGATCATGTTGTGAATTGTTATTATAATCTTCAAGAGCTTATTCGGCATGTATACAATTTCTATTGTTCCGATTTTTCTTTAATTTTTATGTTATAACTTGATTGTTATTCGTCTAAGTTTTTAAATAAGTAAATGTTGTACGTTAAATAAACATTAAAAACTAGTTACAACAGGTTTTATCATCAATATTTTAATATTTTATACATATATCGAAGGTCTGGTTTGAGCAACAAATTTATAGTTTTGAATAGTATAATAATAACTTTATAATAATTTAACTATATAACTCAAAAAATTGAAGGAACGAATTCAATTTTAAAATACTGTTAATATAATACTGTAAAATAATATTAATTGGTTAATCAATTAATATAAAATCAAATCACAGTTTACATTTCTACTTAAAAGTAGAACGAGAATATTTTCTTAGATTATAAATTTTTATTATTCATTTTTATATACAGTTTAAAATGTACTAATAAATATAATTTAAACTATCTAAATTAAAGTTCTGATAATCTATAAAATTAATTTGATTTAACTTTTATGTTTATAAAAATAAATATGAAATTAGAATTTATTATAACTTTGAAAGAACTACTAAAATTTTTATGTTAAGTTTAAAAATAATTTTAGCTTTTTAAGCTCGTCATATATGATGTGTATAAAAATAAAAAATAGTTTTCATATATAAACAAGTATGAGATTATTGATTTAAGAATTCAATTTAAATTAACTTAAAAATAGTGTGTCATCAATTAATTTTTTTTCAAATCTTTTTTCATCGATACTGATTGGAAAGTGTATGTGTATTTTAAAATGAACCTTTTATTAAATAATTTATATTTGTATAATGGTGATCAATTTAATTTTCCAGGATTATAGAAGCATTCCATTTATCTAAATAATATAAGCATAACGTTAAAAAATATTTAAGTATTTTTTTACTATAGAATATCGAGTATAATACGAGTATCTAAAACTCTTCAGACGATTTTTAAAATAAAATAATTCATTTTATCATAGAATTAGTCATATGCTAATATTTAGTTAAATATTTGTGTAAATAATTGTATATAATTCTTAGTTCTATTACATTATACACGTATGTTATGTTTTTGTGGAATACTTTGAATACTATACTGAACAGTGGCGTATTTATGGGGGGGGGGGCGAGAGGGCCCGGGCCCCCTCCGAAATGAAAAACACCATTGTTAAAGATTGTTATTTTTAACATGGATATGTCTTAATGCTGGGGGTTTCCGAAAATTTGTCGCGACACTGAGAATGTTGCTTATGCGATAATTTAAAATTTTATATTTATAAAATATGTTTGTTCTTTTAAGAAAATATGTGGTGAATTTTGAGTGACTCTAATAAAAAATTTGTTTATTATAATGTAGTTTTTATACTTTTAAAAAATAATAAATCATTAAAAAAATTGAATTTCTTATTTTTCTGATGGTGTAAAGACTGTCGAGAAGTCTTATAGTGCTAAAGTAATTTTTTTCGTAATATTGTGCTTCCTCCTTCCTTTCCACCCAAAAATCAAATACATAATCGGCCCCCTCCGAAATTAAAACCTATATACGCCACTGATACTGAAGAACATTAACCATCTACTATAGTGTATACCTTCTACGTATCACATTAAGCAAAAAATATGAAAATTATTATCGTTGTTCCTATTATATTTCCATCTAACAAATAAATACTTAACAAATTATTTTTATCAAAATTGAGTGCATTCAGTGGTTAGCGATCATACTGATTTTGTAATAATTATGATCGTTAAGAATAAATCTCAAGAGCAAGGTTAAGATGATAGTACGATTCTCCCATACTAAATATTATAATAGCATATCCGGTAGTTCATTTATTCAAATTTACAGTATAATATGTTCTATGGATAAGGTGTTTTCCCTCGCTGGTTTCATGATTATTTTTTACTGGAGAGGTCATTATGACGAGGCCGTGGACATCATACCGGAACTTTTTATATCTTTCTATCTTCCTGAAAACTTCCGTAGTTTATTATACTATATAAATATACGTACATATTACTAAAATCGTGTGTTCGTGATTTCGCAGTTTCTATATTGTTTGTTATTTTTTGGTCAACAGATAAAAATAATAATTTAGCCACCTGAAGAAGTTAATGCTTAAAACGGGGTTTATTGGCTATTATAGAGTTCGTGAACATTTGTTTTGAGTTTGACGTAAATAAGATAATGTTTATGTGTCCTGTTGTTTTATAAAACTCGTGACTATTTGAAAATCCACTTTATGTAACCTTAGAAAAATCTTTATTTTTTTGGGTAGCTGGTAACTCATCGATGAGTGCAATTTTTTAATAGGTATTTAAGATTTTAAAAAAACTATTATTTAATTGTATAAAAATCGATTTTAAAACCTGTATAACAAATGTTTGAGATTTTCGTTTGTTTTGGATTATAATATTTTCTTCGTAATTTGAGCGTCGCCAAGTTATATAATTAGTACAAGATATAATTTCACATGTTTAAGTTTATATGAAATTAACCATGGTGTCCATGAAGACCTCGGTAGTTATTTTATGTTTTAACGTTTGTGCACCGTGAATAAATAGTTTTTGGATTCAATACTTTAATTTCTTAAAGGTCATTTTAGACACCTACATTTTAGTTTGAAATTATAAAACATATTTACTTGCAATGAAATAAAAAAATTAATTGAAAATGAGATGAGCTTTCAATGAAAGTATCTATCCATAAATATTATTACTAATTATAAATATTATTTAGTTAGATCCTAACTGATTTGGTTCTATTAACGATTCAATTAATGTGTAACTACTAGATTTATCAAATTATAACTCTTGACGTTTATAGTATTTATTTTTAAACTTTAATTATTATTATAATCTATTAAAAATCTATCCATGAATTGGATATTACATAATAAGTACTTTTTTTTAACTTAGAGCATCTTCAAAATAAAATCAAACAAAATTACTGTTCACAAAATAAAATTATAAAAATGTATTTCTTCTATTTACTAATATTGCATTGCAATAAATTACATATATTCCTTTTAGTAAAGAAGAGCTCCTTGAAGTAAGCTAGTAAAACGTATTGAATGAGAAAAATTATGTTATAATTATGTTTGATATGAATATCTTGGTGAATTAAATTTAAAAAAACGTATGTAGTTTAAGTACATAATTTAATTTTTATCGTATCCAATGAGAAATACCCCTGAAAAGAGGTTTTACTAATAGAATAATTGCCGCTTCGTTTCGAAATGCAGTAATTATGAATACGAAATTTGATTTCGACATAATCGATAAGTATCCGAGTAAGGTCAAGTTTCTATTGATATTCTTCGACAGTATGTTTACCGTTCCGTAAACACGCATACCGTAGCATTTTTCTTATTCCGAATGTGTGCATAAATATCGAAATAAAGCAAACACTTAATAATGTACATAATACTTAAGAGATTTTAATATCATGACAATACTTGATAAGAAGAAATCACATCCGCTAAATCCATACAAAATATATTTAGGACATTGGGTGGATACCTTCTTGTGGTTTATTCAACAGAGCATAACATAATATGTTTCTGCTCATTTTACTAAATATGTGAAATGTATGAAATATGTGACACTAGTTTTTATATGATTTTTGTTTGTTACAAAGTTTTATCTACAACTTTATGATTAAATATGTTTGTAATGTATTAGTTTTTAGTGTTATACATTCAGTTTATGAAACATTTGTGACTCAAAAAAGAATAGGAACTATATGAATTGTTAGAAGATCCTCACATTAATTGAAAATTAATATTGTTTGATGTATATACTCAAGTTGGTCTTACGAGTAATATATCAATAAGAAAAGTTCTTGAATTATATTCCAAATTTCTTAGGTAATTATTTGTAAGTTTTTTTTATGAAAAAAAGTTATATAAAAACATATAAAATGAAAAAAGGTTGCAGAAGAATAATTTAAATACATTTTCAATTTTTATTCCTATGTTGTTTAAGATACATATTTATAACAATAATCAATTTTGTAAAATTATTTTACGTTATTTAATGATAAATTGATGCATTAATTTGGAAAATTATACACTTGAATTGGTGGATAAAGCTTCCTATTGGGATATATATAATAGCTTAATATCATATATTTTAACATGTTAAGAATGTTATTTTTATATTTCTACTTAGACATTATAATATACTAAATATGTACTTACAGAAAAGACGGTGGTCACAAGTCCTAACATTTTTCTAGGGGTGTTTTTTGATATTTGATATTATCACGTAACCTGAGATCATATATATAAAAAAAAAAACATCAATAAATAAATAAATAAAATATGATTGTAACTTATAAAATATATTATTTTATGTTTTTAAAACTAATAATTAACAACTAATTTTATTTGTTATACGCTACTCGCACAGAGGTTTCTGAACGTTTGAACTGGAAAAAATAATGAAAAAACTAACATCATAGAAGATGATTGTGACAATGTGTTTGTGTACATCAAAAGAACGGATATCTCAAGGCTGTTTACCATTGACCTTCAACTCGATCAAGCAAAAACATTAACAGAGCCACTGGAGAAGGGGATAAATTATAGCCATCGGCTGGGCACGTCTGCTGCTCGTGTTTATTTGGTTCACCTCACTCTTAACACTCGTTGTGGTATAATATATTATTATAAAAAACATTGTTTTCAATCATGATCATTTAATTAATTATCGTACACCCAGAATATTGTACGAGTTTATACGTAGATATTCATGTGAATGCAAGTTAATGATGCAATTTAAAGGATGTCATCGAGTCGTATATTCTCTTTACTGCTATTAAATCATTCATTATAGTTATACAAAAACATTTACCACAATGAAAAAAAAAAATACAATTCATTATAATATTGAAATGTTAACAAATTCAGTGGCGTAGTGATGATATTATTTTGGAGCAATTGCTCCTTCAAAATGTTTGGTAGGTTGGTGATCCCCCTGCTAAAAAATACTTAACTATAAGTATAACAATAATATAGATACATCATAATATCATATTAAATGTTTTAAGTGATAGTAAATATTTGGCGTACAAATGTACTATATATGATTCGTTACTCTAGAAACAATTGGTGCTAATTGCAATACCAATGTTAACAACATTATTCAAAATTCACATATACTGCATAGATCAAGATAAAAGATAATTAATGAGTGTAATAAATTTACTAGATAATTAAGTAAGTACATCTGATTATACAAATCAGTCTAATATACGTATATTTTTTAAATTGTAAATGTTTTGTTGTGATGGAAATGCCGTTAGGATGAATAAAGGGTACCTTATGGTATATACATTTTTGCTCTTCATCAAAAATTAGTTCAACACGCCACTGAACAAATTGTTGTTATTTTTAATAAATCTGCGAACAAATGTATGATAGTCGTGAGAAATACAGTTTATGAAATGTATAGAAATGATACTAGAACTAGATTTTTATTTATTATAGCGAAATTTATGTATAATTGCTAAATAGTTGAAATAATTTAATGACAGTAATAAATTTTAGTTTATAAATAACATATAACTTTAAAATCTATTAAGTTAATGATAGTGATTGAAAAAGTGTTAGAAACAACTGTATTCTTATTTCAATTAGTGTAATTATCATTGCATTCTCAACACTTGCTTGTTTTTTATGTTCTGCTTAAAAGTTCAGTGAAGTTCAGAAAATAAAAATAAAGTATCCATCATCGGTATTCAATTTCCATTTAAGTATTTTACATTAGTTCATTCAAATATTTATGTAGAACTTTTGAGGTTCCATGGAGATTGAATAAAGTAATAATATACCGACTAAAAATAGCGATTTTCAACGAATTTTGTGAGGACTACAGTACCTATACTATTATTGTTCTTTGTGAAAGTACGGTGTACCTAATATTTTTAATAATTCGTTTAATTTTTATACCTGAAGTATATAAGTATTATTATAACACAAAATACATAATTCAATGAAATATGTATTGATATAAATTATAAGAATTATTAAGTATACCTATATGTTAAATTAGCAGCGTATTTGTTAATTAGTCATCATCGTGTATTACACTATTATTTGTACGTTTAACGTTAATTGAACTGTAATTATAATTACAATGTGCTTGGGTAAGATATGATTACAAAATAAGCTAATATATAAACACTGCAGCAATAGTTAATAAGTAAAGGTATCGGTTATTATGGGCTACGAATGGCAATTAACTCGAACGAAACGTTTAGCAAGTCACTGTGAGTATTTGGCACTGATTAATAGTGTTGTACTTAAATAATAGACAACTGGTTTGATGAATTGTCTTCATATCGATTTCTTATTGAAGATTAAAGCAAATACAACAGTAATTTACGCCATTGGTGTTCATAACTGTGTGTTATCGAAAAATATTTCTTATGCAGGACACACTATGTCCTCGAAGACATTTAAATCTTATAATTCGTAAGTAATAATTTTAAATACACATAATAAAATATCATGCTTATTGATTAATAATTAGTTGATTCCAAAATTATTATAATTCTAATACTGCTATTGGATATTATATGGAAAATAATATTTTGCAATTGGACCTAGGTCCGCAATATATATATATATATATATATATATATAATATTGTAATTCATTTGAATTTGGATAGTATATTAACACTACATAACGTATTCGAGTGATATACAAATTTAGTATTTAATGTCGATAGTTTCTACACATTTTAATGTAATTGTTTTCATAATAATCAGTAAATTAATTAAATTGTAATAGAATAACTATTTATAATATTATGAAAATTCAACAATCGAGTTCAAATAAAATTTAAATATTAATAAAAACATTTATAATAATTTATGAAATTAAAAAATTTATTAATTTTTGCTTATAAAACTCATAAAAAAAAATAAATAATTTGAAGTTCATTAATTATCATTCTTTAATTTGTATCTGAAAGTAATAATAAATTAATATTAAATTAATTATTTTAAAATATTAAAAAAAACCTCAGTTTTAAATTATTACTATTAAAATTTTTTATTTTTTGTTCGAATCGAGCAGTAGTAAAAATCTTAGCTATAACACCGTTTTAATTAAAAAAAAAAAAATATATATATATATATATATATATATTAGAATATTCAGATCATTAAGACAACTTAAAATGTGATTTAAATCAAAATATTTGATATTATTATAAGATAAGAAGAAAATAATTATGATTATAAAAAAATAAATAATTCTTAAAATGTAATATATTTACATTTACGTGTTATTAAACTTGATCTTATTGAACGCATGGTACTATAATAGTTGAAGCTTCAATATTAATATTCTCCTGATGGCAATAAATATTTACTTTATATTAGTTATAAGTAAAAACACTGTTGAGCGAGGTTTTTTTATTGCTTTTATTATTATAAGCAAATATAGTCATTTTAATCATTATACATTATAGATTTACAATTAAAATAATGACTACAAACACTAATAACACGTGAAGATATTGGTATTTGATAACATTTAAGTTAAAATTATGTATACATAGTTGATTTTTAAATATTCTGTGTAGATTTAGATTATGATTGTATTTATTAAAATTCATGAAAAAAAACACCAAGTTAAAAAATAGAACAATCTTTTAATTGAATATAAAATTTCAATTTTCGCAGGAAATGAAAATGAAAATTAATAACAGTGTTAATTATACATTTTTAATTTTAATAACTTGAAGTAGCTTTGATATAGGTAAGTTATACAAAACGATACCAGGTTTTAAAAAAAGTATGAAATGTATTGGGCATTGTGTTCAACAAGTATGTTGTTTTCTTTTTCAATGATCAAATTCAATACCTTTACATCAACGTTTAACTTTTATTTTTAGTTAAATATTAGTTTGAAAAATAATCTATGAAACAATACTAAAAATGTAACAAAACTAGTACTCACATCATTTATTCCAACAATATTAATAATAATTGTTATAATATTGACATCAACAATGTTTTGTTCATTTTATAATTATTTTATTGGAAAATGTATTCTTTAATTTGTTATTTAATGAAAAATGTAATTTGATAACTAAAAGTTTCTATTTTGAAATTTCATAATTTTTTGGACCTTATAGATTAATATTAGACATTGATCTAATATTGCATTAATGCCTGGATATTTTAAATATGTTGTCACTCATCAAAATAGAGAATTTGAGAGACCAATCATCTCGAAGAACTCATTATTTTAATAAGTTTTAAGATTAAATTGCATGTGTATCATAACTTTTTGTTTCACTTAATTTCGCGAAATAATTTTTCAGTTCTATAGAGAAAACGAACTATGTGTTATTATACGCAGTAGCACATAATTTTACGGCTAGACATAATATATTTAGGAGTCAATATTATTCGCTGTATTTAATATATGAATACTTTATTCATTGATGATTCTGACTCAAAAAAATAAAATGATATGCTATACTCTATGAAAAAATAAAATTGTATTAATAATATGTAATTAAGTTTCTAATAAAAATAAATATATATTTAAAAATTTCAAATAGTTATTTTTCTTATATGTTTTCTTTAAGTTTCTATTAAAACCACAGAAATATTTACAGAATTATATTTTGTCAGAGTTGCCTAAATAATGAGTTTAATAACATACTCAGTAATAATATTTTATAAAGATATAGGAGATATGGGATATAAGAAGTTAAGAAAATATATTTTAGAATTTAATTAACTAATTTAATACCTGATAATATGGTATTAAAAATAAATACAATTTTTCTGTTATGATCCATAATGTTACCTATTCATCAATTATTTTGAATAAGTTGTTATTATGTAATTAGATTTATTTGTCTGAATATATACTCAATATTTTAACAATGTGCGTGTTATCATGTATATTGTACATATACGTAACATGGTATACTGTATAAGTTTGTGTAATAATCTAAACATTAATATACAATTTGTTATTAAAAATGTTAATAGATACATAATATGTTTTTAGTACGTGTAGGTACATGTTACATAGTAGTACGGTAACAGTACGAGTACATCATCCATTGTACAATGTACTCAACGTTGTTGTTGCATTTATGTCCAACCAAGACCAAATAACAATTAATTAATATATTGTTCATTGTATTTCGTATTAAAGCATTGAAAAATACATTTCACGGAAAATAAAAAATACAGCAAGTAATATCAACAATTATAACACTAAAAACCGGTACCTAT